GTTATTGGCCCAATTATCGTCTGTTTAAAACCCTTTAAAGAACTTACTAATCTGAATGCCTTTCTAGGAGACTGTTGATATTTCAATATTGCATTAAGATTTATGCATTTGGCAGATGCTTTTATCTGAAGCAGCTTACATTGCATTTAAGGAATTTTTGCTTTCAATGAGAATCGATCCCATGACCTTATCATTGTTAGCGCTGTGTTTCCACTGTTTGAGCTTCAGGTAGGCTTATCCATATAATCTATTTTTGTTGCATATGTCGGATGATGTATTTTAATTGCCAAATTACAGTATCATAGAATGTAGATGCTTGTTCTGAAGCTGAAGTCTTTCTTGTTCATTTATCTGAATGAGTTTTGAAGATCTGTTGTAGTGGTTGAAGATTCATAATCTTGAAAGCATTCATTGATCCATTAAACTCTGTAATGGTACATGTTACCATTGTTAAAAGATTAGTTAGCATGTGGAAAACTTGCAGAAGACTAGTAGTACACAGCGTGTTCATAGGAATTGACTGTTCACTTCAGTTCATTGAGTGCAAAGCTTCTTAGTTTGCCTGCATCCATCAGTCACTTTTGAGTGCTATAATCAAGGCACTTAAAGGCATGCACTAGTGTTCCCGTTTTACATGTTCTTTCTTAGTGAATTACTGTATATATAAAGTGAAGTACTGCTATTTACCACTGGGTATTTTTAAGTTACAAACTTTTTATTTTTTCTCTTTAAGATAACCATTTACCATGTTCCTGCTGGTTTGAATAAAAAAGTTGCTTTGTTTCCAATTATTAAGGAATATTTTTAATAAAAAAATTAAGCTCAACAAATTTGTTTGTGATTCAGGTGAATCAGTTGTGTTGTTTATTGTAAATCATTGCTGGAAACACTGCTGGTAATTCCATATAGAGGTAGTTACACTACCTTTCAGTAAGTCTGTAAGCCTTTTGTTTGTTTTTGTAAAACATCTCTAATGCTCTCTAAGGCTGCATTTATTTGTTTAAAAATACATTGAAACAGAATTTAAAATAATATTTTTCTATTTTAATGTTTTAAAATGTAATTTATTCCTGTGATCCCCAAAGCTGAATTTTGATACTTCAGAAATCATTCTAATATGTTGATTTGCTGTTTAAGAAATGATTCATATTAGTATCAGTTGTATAGAATGGTCAGAAAAAAACAGCATTTATTTTAAAGACTTTTAAATACATTTATTGCGTCCTTGTTGAATAAAACTATTAATTTCTTATTTTTTTCATCCGTCACTAGTGGCAATTCAATTTCTTTCTTTTGTTATAAATTCTTATTTATGTCTTATTATTAAACGTCAAACTGCCTGAAAGGATGTGATTTTGTGCAGAGCAGTAAAGTAAAGTTTTTGGTTTACAATTTGCTTATATGAAATCCCCATTCATGAGTGTGTGTGTGGACACTAGTGTGTTTATCAGGATGTGAACATGGTACAGAATTGCTGTGAAACCAGGCAAGTGACAGTACCTCAGCAGTTGTCTTTTGTTATGTGAAACAATTAGAGTTTAACACAGCACACTTTTGTTCGTCACAAATCCAATAGCAATCAGCCTTGTCCTTGGTACCCCAATCAGCCCGCATTTAGATATCGATCGACTGTTGGTGAAGACCACTCCATGTTTTGTGTGTGTGTTTTTACTATTGATTATCCAGAAATGATAGTGGCATCACCTGCGACTTCTCCATCGCTCTGAAGTGAGAGAAGCTGATTTGGAGTGTTCTTTTAAGTACAACATCTTTCAAAGTTTGTCTCCAGGGCAGAAGCTTTCGTTTTCTACATACCTGATGAAGTGTTGTTCATTATTGTTTGATGCTATTGTTGGTAATGAAATGAAACGAGACATTTAAGCAAGGCTTTGAGATCTTATTAAGATGCCTATTGAATGTTTCACTGAAAAAGTATTTTAATTGTTCCTTGTGGAGTTCTCTTATATGGAAGAAACCAGCATAGTCCCGTGTGATCGAATGCTCTATATTGCACTGTATTGATCTTTTCTACCCATGTCACACCTGCAAATGCTCATGAATGCTAACTCTCTTTCATTCACTGACATCTACACAGTCTGATTACAGATGAGAAGTTGGTATTGATAAATATATTGATTTGACCTTCAGAAGTACTTCTGACCTGGGCCGTCTCATCTCCTCCTGTAAGCACAAGCAAGGAAAGTTGTGCACCATGTGCACATGATAGATAAACTGTGTCTATCATAGAGGCAAAATAAGCAGTGTGCCATCGGTTATGGATGGGATTTTGTATGAAGGTTGTGAATTCTGCTTTTAGGGCAACCAGCCAGTCAGTGGAGTGGAGAAATTACAGGGAATGCATCATTAATTAAACTCCTCCACTGGAATACTGATGCTCACGCAATCAATGGCAAAATAATTGCTTGTCATGCATGTTGTGGCAAGAGAAATTTCCTTCCAATCTTCGCAGACATTTGATTAGCCAGGTCCTCCAAACTTTTTTATATGGAACAAATGAATTATTCAACCACCTGTTTCTGTCTGTGCTGGAAAACAGCCAAAGTGCTGTCAATGGCCTCTCTCTTTCACTTTCTGTCTCTTTCTATCATTCTACGCTTTATTCTGTTTTGCATGTTCTCCTCTTTTCTTTTCATAATCTTTTTCCTTTATCTCAAACACATCAGCATCCCTGCATACTGCCTCACAGTGTGCGTCTCAGGGAGCTTTTTGGTTTCTCTGTTTGCAATAAATATCAGTCACTGATCTTTCTGTGAGTCATGTCATTTATGCCGTCAGTCACCACTTGTAATCTTACATCTGAGATTTTGACAGAAAACTGACATCTTAGAGTTGCTTGAAATCATAAAGTTTATGTACAGATATTTACTAATGTATCATATTTTTTCCCCTCTTTCTTTCATTTCTTACTCTTACTGCTACAGCAACTGATGAGGGAAAGGCAGCAGATGGCCAGTCGCCCTTTTGCCTCGGTCGCGGTGACACTGGATTTGGGCGGCACTCAAGTAGAACTGCTTCAGGGTGGAATCGAGGTTAGTTTGGCCTTTGAACTTTGAACCAGTTAGATTTTACTTGGCTAACATTATTCAATGAAAGGTTAGTCAATATACAGTATCAAATATTCACTATATTTAGAAAATGATTTTCGAGACACAAGAAAATATTTTTCAAGAAAATTTTATTCTCTGTGGAAATACACTAGTATACACCATATACATTATATACACCAGTATTTATGGCTCTGAAATGACCTTTTTCCCCTCATGTGAAATTTTTCCAATCAGCTATTATTTCTATGTAGATTTAAAATTAAAGCAAGTAATCATCATTCATGTAAAATAAAAAAAATCATATTAAAAATAATCTAGGCATGTTTTCATCACTGTATGTATGTATGTATGTGTGTATATATAATGTACTTAACCTTTATAATTAACTTAAAGGGATAGTTCACCCAAAAATTCTGTCATCATTTACTCACCCTCATGTCGTTCCAAACCTGTATGAGTTGCTTTCTTATGTTGAACACAAAAGAAGATATTTTGAAGACTGCTGGTAATCAAACAGTTGGTGGTTGCCATTGACTTCCATAGTAGGAAAAAAAAGTCAATGGCAACCACCAACTGTTTGATTACCAGCAGTCTTCAAAATATCTTCTTTTGTGTTCAACATAAGAAAGCAACTCATACAGGTTTGGAACGACATGAGGGTGAGTAAATGATGACAGAATTTTCATTTTTGGGTGAACTATCCCTTTAATGAGGTTTCCAGTGTAAATGATGAGCAATACCAGGCAGAAACCGTTTGCAGTTTGACAGCTCTAATTTAAGTGCATCGCGATTCATGGTTGTTACACAACAGACACACACACAGACCTGTGAGAGCAGATGTACCTGCCGCTCAGCAGAGACGTTCAAAACACACGTCCAGCAGCACTTGATGTGCCTCTCCAGAATCCATTAGTGTAGAGTGGAGTGGTGCTCAGTGAGCATTATGGGCTGTTGGAGGACACACCACAAATGAAGAGAGCAGAAAACAACATACTCGTCGATCCTCCAGCTGAACGCTGTTCAACATGGATCTTTTCAAACAAACTTTAGCTTTACTCTTACGAGCACACGGCTCTCATTTATGGGGACATCAGCCTCATGAGAAGAGCCACTTAAGTTCTGTAAAACTGCATCCACAAGAGTGCTGTTGAGAATTGAAGTTTTTGCTAACAGAAGTTGTTTTGATA